TGTTGTTTGAAAATAGTGTGTTTTTGATATTTTGGTTTGTCCTTAGTTTGTCTGATTGGGATTTTGATATAGATCGGAGATTTTAAAACGGGGATCTTAGATACGCGTTTTTCGTTAATTTTGTTAGTTTGTTTTTTTAATTGATTATAAGAATCGTGAGCGATTTGTTCATTAATTTTGTCTTTTTCTAATATTTGTTTAAGATGTGATGAATAAGGGTCTTCAGTACTACCGTATAATAAATCAAAAGGTGTATGTGTTGTAGTAGAATGAACAGATTGATTGTAATTTAAGATAACGTCAGTCATTAGGTCAGTAGTAGTGTCTGTTTTTCGAGTCTGTATTAGGATTCGAAATTTTTCTCCAATGGTACTATGTAATCGTTCAATTGATGCAATAGAACTACGATTGCTGGTGCTTCCTAAGTGCAAATGTATTTCATGAGCTTGACAATAATCTTTAATAGCTTCTGAACGTAATTCTCCATAATCGGCATGAAGTGATTTTGCAAATCCATGATGTGAAAAGAAATGTTTCATTTTAGATAGTATGTCAACGTGATTTCGTGACATGGTCTGATAGGCTTGGGCATATCGACTAAAGTGGTCTATAAAAGTTACATATTTAGTATTTTCAATAGTAAAAATATCTATGAACACTAGTTGGAATGGTTTGTTACTGAAAAATGGGCATTGGATTGGTTCTTTGTAAGGTTTTCGTTCGTATTTAGCTTTTAAACAGATTTCGCATTTATTAATGATGTCAGTTATAAGGTCTTTAAGTTTTGGAGTATAGTGAGTCTTTTGGAAATGAGAATAAGTTTCATTAATTCCGTTGTGAAATTTATGATGGTACAAGGTTATTTCGTCTTTCATTTCTTGTTTGTCTAAATAAATTGGTTTAAATGCAGCTTTTTCTAGTACAATATGTTTTGCAGAAAAAGATTGTGTCATAATTTTACTAAGTATGGGCAAAAGTTTCTGATCGTCTACCAAATTCCGTATTTAATACCAGGGGTACAATAATTTTTTATACAATCCAAAATAAATGAGGAACATAAGTGATTAATTAAAGAGCACTTTAGTGTCTTATTATTTTCGATTATTTCCGAAAAATATTTCGATAATTTCAAGTCTTTCTGCTGTGGAATATACCATGGTTAATTTATGTAATAAAGCGTTACAAGTTATTTTAGCAACAAAGCTTGGTCAAATCAATCGCAAATTATGTACTAAATTCCGACTCAAAATAAGTACGAGATACTTTCTTATCTTTCTTCAAGAAATAACTTTTTTGCCACAAAAAAAAATGCTCCAATAGCTATTTTCAACAACAAAATGATAAACTAACCATGGGCGTAGTGAAGAAAAGCATTTACCTATTAAGTAAATTATGTTAGTCAAATTTCTTATGAAAGTAGTTCAAACTGATCTGATATACCTACTAAAGTCTACTTTAAGCTTTAAATCAATACATCTTCAAAAACTACTGAACTGAAGCTCATGTATTTTACATCACGTGCTATCGTGATTTTTTGCCAAACTTGTGTCACTCTCGAAAACAAAATCGACGGGTCTGAGCGTTTTTCAAAAAAAAAACTGAGCAGCCAGTAAATGCGTCTGTTTCGTTTTCGATGCGCCACCCTGTATTTTGTTTCCTTAGGCATTCTTATTTCATTGCTCACACGGTTTTTATTTCTTCTTATCATCATAAATGTACTTTGTCTAATTCTGATGTAAAAGAATTATAAAGGTTGATTCTCACTATACATTCCGTTTCCATTCCGTAAATTATTGAAATTAAATATTCCCCTTCGCTTAAAGCAGGCTATTGCGTGTGTATGCACATTATCCGTAAGGTACACTGTGTATGCAATCACATTGTACAAAACGTTTACGAAACTGATATGGAATGGAAACGGAATGTATAGTGAGAATCAACCTTAACTGTGTTTCCATTTTTGCATCTTGTACTGACCAGTCCGAATAAAAAACTATAAAGCTGTTTCGCACTATTTATCTTGTGTAGTAGTATATTTTTATAGCCAAAATCAATTGCAGTTTTTCTTTTGTCTCCATTAATAAGCAAATATGCAAAGTCTAATTTTAGATTAATTATTGGTTGTATCTCCGATATTCTTGATTAGGTATATTGCCCTGTGGTACATATTATTTTGTCTTCGAAATGGTTTTGAGTCCCTATAAGAAACTGATGTTTTTATACATTCCACAGTCGTTTTTGTTGCTGTGAGTTACACACTGAAATACATGTAAATTGGTATTGATGGAATTATTTAACCACCATGCGCAATTCCAGGAGTGCTCTCTGGACTCATCAGGAAGTAAATGTCCTGGAAAAAAACGGTTCTTTTCGGAGCCACTAATTTATCTGCAATGAAAAAAGATTATCTGTTAGCCCTAATGATATTGACATTAGAGATTTGGAAATTCATAATCTCTTGAAAAAACGGTTACAACAATATTGTTTTCAGTTGTGATTGCCTGGGAAGTTAAAAATGTGAACTAGCCGACCAATCAGCGCGCGCTTGACGGCAGGTTGCAGAGTCTACGCCTGTCGTAAGGACTTATCCCCTCTCCAGGTAAGAACCGGTCAATATAAATAGAGGCCGCCGCCATTTCATGAGCAGTCAGACTTTACTTCGAAGATGGATCTGATGGTGAATGAAGCGATGCTTGATGATGGTCTGCCTAGGTGCTCGACGCCTATTCGGAGGTCGATGTACCAACCAAGACCTAACTGTAGCAGCGCTAGTGATAACGAGAGTTATTCTAGGTTCCGCTGCAGGTTGGACTTGGGAGGCGTGGCTCCAAGGCTTCGGGGGTCACCATGCGCAATTCCAGGAGTGCTCTCTGGACTCATCAGGAAGTAAATGTCCTGGAAAAAAACGGTTCTTTTCGGAGCCACTAATTTATCTGCAATGAAAAAAGATTATCTGTTAGCCCTAATGATATTATATTGTCATTAGAGATTTGGAAATTCATAATCTCTTGAAAAACGCTTTTTTTCAGAGCCACTGATTTATATTCAACGTAAGAATATCCGTTAGCCCTAGTGATATTGACATTAGAGATTTGGAAATTCATAATCTCTTGAAAAAAACGGTTACAACTATATTGACGGCAGGGGGCAGAGCCTACGCCTGTCGTAAGGACTTATCCCCTCTCCAGGTAAGAACCGGTCAATATAAATACAGGCCGCCGTCATTTCATGAGCAGTCAGACTTTAGTTCGAAGATGGATCTGATGGTGAATGAAGCGATGCTTGAAGACGGTCTGCCTAGGTGCTCGACGCCTATTCGGAGGTCGATGTACCAACCAGGTCTTGGTCTTTTCAGAGCCACTGATTTCTATTCAACAGAAGAATATCCGTTAGCCCTAGTGATATTGACATTAGAGATTTGGAAATTCATAATCTCTTGAAAAACGCTTTTTGTCAGAGCCACTGATTTATATTCAACGTAAGAACATCCGTTAGCCCTAGTGATATTGACATTAGAGATTTGTAAATTCATAATCTCTTGAAAAAACGGTTACAACAATATTGTTTTCAGTTGTGATTGCCTGCGAAGCTAAAAATATGAACTAGCCGACCAATTAGCGCGCGCTTGACGGCAGGGTGCAGAGTCTACGCCTGTCGTAAGGACTTATCCCCTCTCCAGGTAAGAACCGGTCAATATAAATAGAGGCCGCCGTCATTTCATGAGCAGTCAGACTTTAGTTCGAAGATGGATCTGATGGTGAATGAAGCGATGCTTGAAGACGGTCTGCCTAGGTGCTCGACGCCTATTCGGAGGTCGATGTACCAACCAAGACCTAACTGTAGCACCGCTAGTGATAACGAGGGTTATTCTAGGTTCCGCTGCAGGTTGGACTTGGGAGACGTGGCTCCAAGGCTTCGGGGGTCACCATGCGCAATTCCAGGGGTGCTCTCTGGACTCATTAGGAAGTAAATGTCCTGGAAAAAAACCGGTTCTTTTCAGAGCCACTAATTTATCTGCAATGAAAAAAGATTATCTGTTAGCCCTGATGATATTGTCATTATAGATTTGAAAATTCATAATCTCTTGAAAAACGCTTTTTTTCAGAGCCACTGATTTATATTCAACGGAAGAATATCCGTTAGCCCTAGTGATATTGACATTAGAGATTTGAAAATTCATAATCTCTTAAAAAACGCTTTATTCAGAGCCACTGATTTCTATTTAACAGAAGAGTATCCGTTAGCCCTAGTGATATTGACATTAGAGATTTGGAAATTCATAATTTCTTAAAAAACGCTTTTTTCAGAGCCACTGATTTCTATTCAACAGAAGAGTATCCGTTAGCCCTAGTGATATTGACATTAGAGATTTGGAAATTCATAATCTCTTGAAAAACGCTTTTTTTCAGAGCCACTGATTTCTATTCAACAGAAGAATATCCGTTAGCCCTAATGATATTGTCATTAGAGATTTGGAAATCCATAATCTCTTGAAAAACGCTTTTTTCAGAGCCACTGATTTCTATTCAACGGAAGAATATCCGTTAGCCCTAGTGATATTGACATTAGAGATTTGGAAATTCATAATCTCTTAAAAAACGTTTTTATCAGAGCCACTGATTTCTATTTAACAGAAGAGTATCCGTTAGCCCTAGTGATATTGACATTAGAGATTTGGAAATTCATAATCTCTTGAAAAACGCTTTTTTTCAGAGCCCCTGATTTCTGTTCAACAGAAGAATATCCGTTAGCCCTAATGATATTGTCATTAGAGATTTGGAAATTCATAATCTCTTGAAAAAACGGTTACAACTATATTGTTTGCAGTTGTGATTGACTGCGAAGCTAAAAATATGAACTAGCCGACCAATCAGCGCGCGCTTGACGGTAGGGGCAGAGTCTACGCCTGTCGTAAGGACTTATCCCCTCTCCAGGTAAGAACCGGTCAATATAAATAGAGGCCGCCGCCATTTCATGAGCAGTCAGACTTCAGTTCGAAGATGGATCTGTTGGTGAATGAAGCGATGCTTGAAGACGGTCTGCCTAGGTGCTCGACGCCTACTCGGAGGTCGATGTACCAACCAAGACCTAACTTTAGCAGCGCTAGTGATAACGAGGGTTATTCTAGGTTTCGCTGCAGGTTGGACTTGGGAGGCGTGGCTCCAAGGCTTCGGGGGTCACCATGCGCAATTCCAGGGGTGCTCTCTGGACTCATCAGGAAGTAAATGTCCTGAAAAAAAAAAGGGTTCTTTTCAGAGAAACTAATTTATCTGCAATGGAAAAAGATTATCTGTTAGCCCTGATGATATTGTCATTATAGATTTGAAAATTCATAATATCTTGAAAAACGCTTTTTTTCAGAGCCACTGATTTATATTCAACGTAAGAATATCCGTTAGCCCTAGTGATATTGACATTAGAGATTTGAAAATTCATAATCTCTTAAAAACGCTTCTTTCAGAGCCACTGATTTCTATTCAACAGAATATCCGTTAGCCCTAGTGATATTGACATTAGAGATTTGGAAATTCATAATCTCTTGAAAAACGCTTTTTTTCAGAGCCACTGATTTATATTCAACGAAAGAATATCCGTTAGCCCTAGTGATATTGACATTAGAGATTTGGAAATTCATAATCTCTTGAAAAAACGGTTACAACAATATTGTTTTCAGTTGTGATTGCCTGCCAAGCTAAAAATATGAACTAGCCGACCAATCAGCGCGCGCTTGACGGCAGGTTGCAGAGTCTACGCCTGTCCTAAGGACTTATCCCCTCTCCAGGTAAGAACCGGTCAATATACATAGAGGCCGCCGCCATTTCATGAGCAGTCAGACTTCAGTTCGAAAATGGATCTGATGGTGAATGAAGTGATGCTTGAAGACGGTCTGCCTAGGTGCTCGACGCCTATTCGGAGGTCGATGTAGAGTTCGAACAGCCTAAGGTTATGCCCGCTACGTCATCACTTTATACCCTCTCCCTTGCGTCGATTGTACCCTATAAGAATATAGAAAATTGTTGTGACAGTCTCTGGTAAGATTTATGGACATCTGTTACCGCCCTCTTAATGTGGTCCAGTTCTAATCGTGGCGAATATTTATATCGTAGAAAGCTTAAAAATGTATGTGGTCTTCAATGTCCAGAAATTATGTTGCTGTTGACGCTGTTAAGGGACATCCCACTCTCAGAAAGCCATAGGCGGAACGTTTTTTAGTATGTAGATACGCAAGTTTCAGTCAGTTGAGATTGTTGACACAATTGGGATCTGATGAGACGTTTCTTCGACTTATTTATTAACCATATCATATTTTATACTTGATTGTGTTGAAAATTATTAATCTTATGGGGTTTGTGGAGATTTGATGGAGATCCATAAATCAAAATTTAAAATAGTGAACTACCTACATATAATAGACACAATATTGAAGGGTAAAACCCCAAAGTTGGCAAACAACTGAAAGAAATTAAATTAATCCTAAGACTGTGATCCGCTTATATCTATACCAATCATGAGATTTCCTAGAGTGCATCATTAGTACCTAGATAAATAGGCTAATACCAATATCAAGCGAGGGTAAACAAAATTAGTAGAAACAAATCTAATAATAACAAGTGTAAAATTGAACTACCTGGAATAATTCCCGGTTGCTAAATCCCTTCGTTCGTAAGTAGCGTTAAGAGGATGAGTGTTAATCAATCACATTTATTTTACCTGCAACAGATATATAAACCTGTCCGTTAGTCATAAGTTCAGTTTGTAAACTACTTTGAACAAGGCACCGTGTGTAAAAATTGTCAAATAGATTGCAATATAGTGGAAATTTTTACTATTGTTCAAATTTAAATTATTAATAGTTTTGAACCAGTGATCTAAACAATGTCTGTGAAAGAGATTGGCGTGAAAGGAAAGGCGATTGGGAGTCAAGGAAAGGAAATTATCAACAATGTCAATAACTTCATGGTACAGGAAAGTGTAGAGGGATTAAAGTTTCCACTTCAACAATACCGGTATGTATGAATGTAAAAGATTTTTATAATTATTGTCAATTAAAACTGATTAACCCATTTAGGAAACGTGTGTTAGCTGCCACGGGTATAAGTAAATGTACTTATCAAAAAATAGCTAAAGAGAGCAGAGATGGAATATATTCAAGCAAATTTTTATTTTCATCCCCATCTAAAAAGCGGCAACGAAAATCACCTGTTGTGGATAAAGTGACTGCAGGCCAAATTGAAGAAATGAAAGCAATCATATACGATTTTTATATTTTGGAGAAAAGAAGACCTTCACTGAAATGTAAGTTTTTAAATTGTAACCGTAGCATCTAGTCATATGTCATTTTAAGATTTTTTAGGTATTTACCAAAAAATGCAAGATCGACACCTTAATTTTGAGGGTAAAATAACGACTTTGAACAAACTTTTGAAACAAATGGGCTTTAGGTCAGTATTCATACACACTATAAGGTTTTCGATTTACAACGCTATAAATATAATTTATATCTACAGATGGAAAAGAACTACTGATAATAAAAGAGCTCTCATGGAAAAATATGAAATTAGCTTGAAGCGTATCGAATATCTGAAGCAAATTATGAAATATGAGCTGAGAACAGGAACATAATTTATACGGATGAAACATATTATATACATTCTAGTCATACCCCAAAAAAAGGATGGTCAGATGACAATTATGACAAGGAACTAAAAACGCCTTTATCAAAAGGACAACGAATGATTATTGTGCATGCTGGTGGAGAATTCGGCTTTATTCCTAACGCCTTGTTGATATTCTTCTTATCACAATGTCCTGGAAGAAAAAAATGTAACGTCTTCTAGCCTGATATCAGAGATGATTGACTGGCTAGAAAAACATCAAATTCCTAGTGAAAACTCATTGACTAAGGCCGAACTATATAAAAAAATACAGGAAAATAAAAGAAGATTTCCAGTCAAATACAAGCTAGATGCGTTAATGGAACAGCACGGGCATAAAGTTTTACGACTGCCTCCATATCATCCGGAGCTAAACCCAATCGAGAAGATTTGGGCTCTCGTAAAAAACTGGGTTGCTCCACGAAATGTGACATTTAGGTTGTCTGATGTGGAGCATCTGACCCGTAGCAGGTTTGAAGAAATTGGAGCAGATGAGTGGAAGAAAATTTGTAACCACGTGAAAAAATATGAGCAAGCACAAATGGAAAAAGAACATCTTCTCGACGATCAAATGGATACGTATCAATTCAATGTGAACACAGGGTCATCATCAGAAGATAGTGACGAAAGCGACTCAGATGAAGATTTGTAGCTAAACACACTATCATCTGATAGCGATTAGATTTTTTAATGATAATATATAATTTGAATTATAACCGTCTTTAGTTTGCTCCCTCTTCTAATTCAAATTTGCTTCCGAACAACTTAATGCGCATACTAAATGAATATAATAATACAAAAATTAATTAATGATCAATGTCTACACAACCTATTCACTTTATTTTATTCTTCAAATAAAATAGAACGCCACTGCGCTCTGTCGACGACCGCGTGATGAGCGGACCCGCCCACGATGACGTAGCGGTCATATTCTAAGAGCGTTCGAACCATACCAACCAAGACCTAACTGTAGCAGCGCTAGTGATAACGAGGTTTATGTCGGGTTCATGCACGACTTAAACTAACAGAACTTAAGGATCAGCTGTTTCTACACGAGTGTCCTCCACATGTTACGCCTCCAGATAGTAACTAGCTAGTGACTTCCAGTGGTGGTCAAACGTTTTGGTGACGTCACATCCATTTTCTGACATGATTCGGGTGGTTTCGGACTCGTCTTACCATCGGATAGCCCTTTTTATATGGTTTTATGCTTGTATTCGCGTAATTATAATAGTCCTGTGGTGTCGCCTGTGTTCCACGACGATTGACAGGTCAAGGGGAATCATTTTTTTTTGTTTGTGTTTTATGTTCGGTATTTGCTTGCATTCGCAGAAAGGTACGAATTTATTAATTGAACATCAACGATCGTTGTGGTATAGTTTTTCGTTGGTGTTCGTTTTACGGTGTGTTGTGCTGTGTTCGACGTATTTTTTTGTAATCAATTGAACATGGTTATGCGAAGAATAAATAAACGAAGAGCCGCACTGGGAATGGCAGCACTATTGCTTACGTGGTCGGCCTCGATAGTAGCTACGCCGCAACCAAGGCGATATGCGGTGCGACCGTTGAATCGTCTGCGGAGACGAAAATATTCCCATTATTTTACGTTAGTGAAGTTCATGCGGGAGGAGGACGAGGAGCAATTCTTCAAATACACGCGTATGACGCCGCAGTTGAACGACAACCTCCTCGCGTTATTGAAGAGATATCTACAGAAGGCACCCGATCGCAATCCAATATCGCCAGAGGAGAGCCTAATGATGACGTTGCAGTAAGTATCCAAATCAGTACATGTTTGGGGGAATGACTAGAGCGAATATCCAACATATTGAGGTTAAGGCCATTTTCTTAATTCTCAAGGTCATTTCTTAAAATAAAGTTCAATATATTGAACTTTTCCTTAAGAACCGACCAATCGTATCAGTGGCATGGATCAGCTGATCGCTACAGCTGTAGTTGGCTAATGGGTAGAAGTACAAATTTCGATAATCGTGTTGTTCACCCTGATGATCGATGCATGTTGCTATTGGGAAGAAGAAGGATGAGGTGAGGGCTTGGTGATAGGTTAACACAGGATATTGCAGCGAGGCGGCGTCAATAGGGGTTGAGAAATAAATAGCAGTGAGGGTGGCTAAAATTGATAATGCATGGCAATGGTCATAAAACATTCGAAATTCTAGAATCTTCTCTGGCAACTTTGCTTCCAGATTCAGATTCCGCTATATTATTAGGAGATTTAAATATAAACATGTTTGCTAATTCACCTGCTAACGATATGCTATTGTATTTGCTGGAATCCTTTGATTTAAAACAAATTGTCAATGAGCCTACACGCATCACAGGGCTTTCGAATACTCTAATTGATTTGATTATCTGCTCTAAAGACCAAGACACTAGAGATGTTAAAGTTTTACCGTCCCACAATATATCCGATCACTGTATCATTACGAAATTACTACTACACTAATCCGTAACAAAGTTAGACATTATACCTTCCGTGATTTCAAGCATTTTGACCAGCAAAAATTTCTTGAACTGTTTTATTTGGTTCCTTGGGATCAGATATACAACATGCAAGATACGAACGAAATGGTATATTTTCTGAATGATAACGTGAATAGACTTTTTGACGTTAGCGCACCAGTAAGGACTGTTAGGATATCAAAGCCTCCGGCACCATGGTTAACATATAATATAAAAGAAATGATGAAGTCGAGAGATAAGGCATATAATAAGTACAAGCAGAATAAATCGGTAGGCAAGTGGGTTTTCTATAAAGAAATGCGCAATGAAGTTGCGAAGGCTATCAATAGGGAGAAAAAAGCGTATATGGAATTCATTCTGTCAAAAATAGATTCTAAAGCTACCTGGAGCTGCCTTCGGAGACTTAGCATTATCAGCAGCAACTTGAAAGAGTTACCTGGCCATCTACAGGACGTTAATGACATAAATAAGTATTTTTCTAGTTTACCTACCATTGTTAAGTCTGAGTTACAAATGAAACTGCTGAAAAAATATAACACCAGCCAGCAAGCCAGACAATTCACATTCTCCCAAATAACTTGCCACGATGTTATGGGATTTTTCCGAAGTATCAAAAGTAATGCCTTGGGTGTTGACGGAATCAACCTAAATATGCTAACAATTATATTCGATTTGCTAATTGAAAATATAACTTTCAGCATCAACTATGCAATTGCATCATCAAACTTCCCCAACTGTTGGAAAAAAGCAAATGTTCTCCCCCTAGCTAAAATAAGTTACCCTACAGATATTTCACATCTGAGGCCGATAAATATACTACCAGCATTTTCCAAGTTATTAGAACTAGTCATGAAACATCAGGTATCTGACTACGTCTTCTCTAATGGTATCATTCCTGAAATCCAATCGGGTTTCAGGAAAAACCACAGCGCAACAACAGTTCTGGCTAACATCACTGATGACTTAATCAGATGTGTGGATCAAGGAAATTTAGCATGCTTAGTGTTGCTTGATTATACAAAGGCTTTTGATACCCTGGAACCATCTATTCTTGTGAAAAAGCTTATATACTTTGGTTTTTCGGAATCTGCAATTAATTTTGTATTAAGTTATTTCACTGACAGGAGTCAGATGGTTGTGATTGGGTCAAGTATCTCGGAGGAGATACCAGTTAAACTAGGGGTACCACAGGGTTCCATTCTGGGACCATTATTGTTCTCAATTTACATTTCTGACTTCCACGAGTACGTTGAACACTGCAGTATTCATCACTATGCTGACGACACTCAATTGTACTTTGGCTTCGATATTAAAGATTTAAAAAATGCCGAACATTTGATTAATAATGATTTAATAAATTTATCTAACGTATCTTGTGCCCATAATCTGAAAATTAACCCGTTAAAATCATCCGCAGTTATATTTGGACCAAAAATCAAAAAAAGTCAGGCAAAACCATTACTATCATTGCGCATTTTAGATCAACCGATCCCTATAAAAAATGAGTGCAAGAATTTAGGACTCTGGATTGATTCTGATTTGAGGTTTGAAAAACACGTTAGTCAACTGTGCCGAACATCATTCGGTGTCTTGAAGCAACTATTTCCTCATAGGAAAAGTATGAATACTGGTCTCAAGCTGAAGTTGTGCGAAACCTTAATATGGTCTAGAATTCACTACTGTGACTGTATTTATGGGCCTGCACTAAGATCGATTGAGATAAGGAGACTTCAGACTATTCAAAATGCGTGTCTCAGATTTGCTTGTGGAGTGAGAAAATTTGAGACAGTGTCACATAAATATCGCGAGCTGGGTGTTCAAAAAATAGAAGAGCTACAAAAAATGCATGTATTGACCCTGACCCATAAGGTAATTACAACGCAAGCCCCTCCATATCTATCAACCAAATTTATCAGATACTCAGATGTTAATCAACTGAACACAAAGAATAAGCATATTTTGGTTATCCCGAGACATTCAACATCTCTATTTAAAAGGTCGTACGTATATACTGCTATCAAGCTATACAACGCGTTGCCTACCGAGTTCACTCACTACTCGATAAAGAATTTCAAAAAAAGATTGAAGAATTTTATCTCTGATTCCATTGCCCAGTAAGTAGACCATGGCCATGAATAAGAACTCGTTACAGGTTTTTTTTTTAACTCTTGTTTTCATTGGGATTAGAAAATATACATCAATATTTGTTGGGTTAAGTTGAAAAACGCTTTTTAGCGACACTTCGCCTTTTTATACTTTGTATAAATAAAGCCGGATTATTATTATTATTATTATTATTATTATATGTTTTTTATGTGGAAGGTGATCTGTGTATTTGGTAATTTACATTGAATGTAGGAGTATCATCAACAGTTTCTACTTGGAATTTGATTCAATTTTCAGTTCTTATACAATAGGACAGTCATACATAGATGGCATATACTGTCTCAATGTTGCAATGACATGAGAAAGTCAAGCTTTATAGTTGCAGGTGGTTGAATTTATTGGTTAAGCTTATTATTAGTTTATCTTTAAAGAAAAACTCATTTGTCAATTGTTAAGTAACCATAGTCCTGCCAGGAATTCACTTGAAACATAGTTTTAAATATGCAAGTATGTTGCATACATTATATAGATGTGTGAAAGTAAAATGGTAATATAACTATTATACTCTTCAACAACATCTTTGTAAGGGTACAAATTCATGTATTAATAGAATTACAAAAAAACATTCATATTTGAAATGCCATATCCAAATCAGCAGTGAGATGTGGGTATTTCAGTCAAACACCGTATTTTTTGTATCCAGGTAGTGATGAGTTACCAGGAATTGTCAAAAATATGATCCAAATAAGGAGCATACTTTTGGTAACAGGTGCTTTTATTTAACATGTTTCATCCCATGTGTAATATCAGAGTGACCGGGACCTCCCTAAAAAGATACCCAGTAGATACAGAAATGTTACTTGGGAGGGTCTATGGCAGTTATTTCATGATGAATGTATGTTTACAGAAATTCATATGGAGAGATGTATTTTCAACAAATATCATAGCATGTGTAGTGAGGTACCATAACACTTTATTGGTGAGATTGCTAGTAATGTGCACTATTTGTTTTTTATTTGTAGCTATTTGGCTGAAGGCTGTTCCATGCAGCAACTGGCCTGGGACTATTATGTGGGAAAGTCGACAGTCCACTATATCATTAAGGATACCTGCAAGGTGATATGGACACACTTGCAGCCTATAGTGCTGCAACAGCCAAACCAGGAGCAATGGCAAACTATTGTGGAAGAGTTTACAGCAAAATGGCATATGCCAAATTGTTTGGGTGCTTTGGACGGTAAACATGTCCATGTGCAGGCACCAAAACATTCCGGGAGTGATTATTTTAATTATAAAAAATCGTTCAGCCTGGTGTTGATGGCCACATGCGATGCATCCTATCGCTTTACCATGGTAGACATCGGGGCACCAGGGTCCAGTCATGACAGTGGAGTGTTTAAATATAGTACTTTTGGCAGGAAAATATTAGATAATCGGTTGGACACGCCTGGTCCAAAGGTATTGCCTGGCTCGACAGTGGTAATGCCACATTTTTTTTGTAGCAGATCAGGCATTTCCACTGTCAAGCCATATTATGCGTCCAGTTGCAGGACAAGCGCTGCCTGAGGCTGAAACCATTTTCAATTACCGCTTGAGCAGAGCTAGAAGGGTAATTGAAAATGCGTTTGGAATCCTTGCGCTGCGCTGGAGGATCTTGAGAAGTACTATTATTGCCGACATCGATACTTGTGAAGAAATTGTGAAGGCAACAATAGTACTCCACAATTATTTGCAAGCCAGTGAGGCAGAGATTCCAGCCAAAGAACGGCGATACTGCCCCACTGGTTTTGTGGACTACGAGGTGGGGGGACAGGTGCAGGGGGGAGCGTGGCGGCAGGAGTCCGTTGCAATGTCATCTGTTGGGCGGCAGGCGCAAAATAACGCAGCGAGAGCCAGCACTGCATTGAGAAAGGCACTCATGCAGTATCTGGTCTCAGATGTAGGTGCTGTTCCATGGCAGTGGGATAGCATAAGCCTTGGTGCAGTACCAACGTAACTGCCAAACAATCAATAAGACCTGCGTTAAAGTTTCTGTTTTTTACCCAACAACATCAGTTAACAGTCACGAACTCGAGCGGTGTGCAGTTGCACCCCAGACATCAATTTTTGGGGGTATTTTCTAAAATACTTATTTTAACTCAATTTCATATGAGAAATATTTCTTAAATAAATTTCTAATTTAGCATAAATAAGTTTCAAGCAATTGCTAGTTATTGTAACACGTTATAGTGAGTTTTGTACCTTGGGGTTCAGCTGGACTATGCTTGGTATGTAACATTTTACACTATAACAAAACGAAGGGTGCAGTGCATACAACAGATAAATTGGCAAAGGAAATCATGTGTCAAAGAAAGACGCCCATAAGCTATGGGTGTTGCAAACTCCAAATTTGAAAAAAATCGTTTGGACAGAAAAAGAATTTTTTGTTGAAGTTGGGCCAGGAATAATTCGTAGGTACCATAATGACAAGCGTTGACATTCCAATATAAAACAATCCATGCTAACCATTTTGTCTGAATTAGGAGGATATTAACTAAGTAGCTAGACCTTAAGACCCTAAAATTGTTTACCATGTCAACTTTGAGTCCATTGCTCATTTTGGTATAACTTTTTACGGACACAGTAGCCAGATAAACAGGCTCTTTCGGGTACAGAAACGAGCATTGAGATGTATGTTAAAACTTCCGCGTAGAGAAACATGTAGAGGAAAATTTAAAGGGAATAAAATACTCACCATAGTGGCAATATATATTCAGGAAATATTGATTTTTACCTTTAAAAATATTGGGTACTTTATAAGAATCCCAGGCAATTGCAATACAAGGAACGGAGATATAACTCTTGTGTACCCAATTCATCATCTAACTGTTACCGAAAAAAACGTACATTACAGTTGTGCAAAGCTTTACAATAAGTTACACCAGGAAGTTGAAAAGTTGTCGAATATAAAAGAGTTAAAGAAATGTATTCACCAGTTACTAATGAATCTAGAGCCATATGGGCTTGACGAATATCTAGAAATGTGAAACAAACATTGTGTAATATTGTAATATTTAGACACTATTTTTGTTTCTTGCATTTGTTTGCTATTATGGCATTATGTGACATATATTTCACCTGACAGCGGACATTACATTGTAATTGGGCACTGTTATTTTGAAATAAAGATTATGTATTATTATTATTATTATTATTATTATTATTATTATTAAGTAATGAACAACCTGTTCCTGTTATTGGCACACAGCAGCGTTATTTCTTATGCAACAGATGTAAAGACATGAAATCCTGAAAGTTTTGTATTTGGGTCAATCAATGTGTATGTGGAGAACATGGAAAAAATGTAACAGTTTGTAACAAGTGTAATAATTAAATTATTATTTGAAATGTCACAGATTATGATATATTATCTTTTTCATAATTATTTTTCTTAATATTATAATGATATCATATTATTGTTTCCAAATGTGAGTATTTTACAATGTTTGCAGTATACCTATTGAAATATATATTTCTAATCAGAATGTGTTTCTCAGAGTCCCTTGTTTACGTGCAATGAAAAAAGATTATCTGTTAGCCCTAGTGATATTATCATTAGAGATTTGGACTTTCATAATCACTTGAAAGTGGCAAATAGACTTCTAGACACAATAGCGATGATTCTCTTGCACCACAGAAAGATCATCATACCTTACCTAATTCAATTTCAGTGGGATCTAAATACAACAATATTATTTTCAACTGTGACTGTTATCGAAGCCGAACATATGAACAATCGACCAATCAGGGCGCGCTTGATGGCAGGGGGCGGAGTGTAAGTGTCGTAAAGGCTTATCCGCTCTCCAGGTAAGAACCGGTCAATATAGATAGAGGCCACCGGCATTTCATAGGCAGTCAGATATTAGCGCGAAGATGGATCCAATAATGAACGAAGTGATGCTTCAAAATGATCTGCTTAGGTGCTCGACGCCGAACGAGACCTAGCTGTAACAGCAACATATAATGAGGGTTACTCAAAGTTCCGCTGCAAGTTGGGCTTTGAAGGCGTGGCCCTAAGGCTTCGGGGGGCACCGGGTGCAATTCCAGGGGTGCTCTCTGGACTCATCGTTATGTTCAGGAAGTAAATGTCGAGACACAAAAAAACGGTTCTTTTCAGAGCCACTAACTTATGTATGTATGTATGTAGAGGGGGGTTGGACAGAATTCGATTCGCCACAGATTTTAGAAATTTGTATTACGTGGTGCTTTATGTCACCACCTTAGCTAATTTTGCGAACTCAACTATTTTGTCCAGGATGGGCTTTCTGTTTAAACTTAGCAATGATGACAGTCTGATCCTCCAAAATTAATCTTTGTATTAAGTTAGAAACATGAGGCTCATTTCCTGCGCATTCAAAGAAAATATGGTTTAAATCTGCTACTTTGGTGTTGTCACAGTCGCACCAGTGTAACGGTTTCACCGTCCGATTGTATTTATTAAGTCACTTCTCGATTTTCATTTCAAAATCGCAACTCATTAATCCCATCTCTAGCTTTTTACTTGGAAAAATTTCCGCTTGGAGCGCGCTTGATGCTGGCAATAACATCCACGTGTTGAGTTCCTGATCTGTGATCTTCCTCGCGGTTTCTTTTCACTTCAGCCGTCGATCTAACAACAACTGACAATTTTGTTCTCTATAGCATGAAATTATATAGCACCATCTGCTAGCATTTTATAAAATGTGTGTCTGAATAGGATAAAATGATTGGGACCACCCCCTTTGTCTTTGACTTTGCCGTGCCTTCACCCATGCATGTGCCTTGGCTGCGCCATCACTTACAGCTTCATCCTTGATGAAGATCACCTTTAAGCTCAACTTCACTGCATCCTTCGCCTACATCTAGTTTTGAAGCCACTAAATATGAGGTCACCCCTCATAACTGGGACCTCCACGTGAAGCCCTTGGCCATCCTTGCTTCAGTCCAGTCAAAATGGACCAGCTTAGCGAAAGATAAGTGGATAATTTTGCAACAGCGCCAAAGATTTAAATCTTTTATTTTGTTCTTTAAAATTTCAACAATGTTAATTGTCAAATGTAATGAAAATGCTTTTCTAGTTTAATAAAATCTGTTAAATTTTTGTGTTCTGTTTGTTCTTCTATCCTCTAGCCATGCCATGGTCGACACACAGCTACACGCCTGTAGATGTCTTCATGCCACCGACTGAGCTACCGGAAGCTAATGGTAACCCCCTTTCTGTGATTGTGCAGAAAAGTTGGAATCTTCATTGCATTCCAACTTTTATGGACTTTTTGCGGAAAGAAAGGATTACACCAGTTATTATCAATGATTTCCATTCTGTAGAGGTGGTCTCTGAATCTACCTTGATTTGGTCTGGTTTGGTTTGGTTTGGATCTCGTTATTAACGTTGAGTAAAATCTTCCGACATGATAATCGAAAATGTGCGACGACCTGACTGGTAAAAAAGGATTGATTATTGCATACGGGTTTCCTAGAATTACTACAATATATGCTCCATCGCTGTTTCCATGAGGATAGCATATTATTTTTGAAATTATTATTTATATCATTTATTGAAACAAATGTTTTGAACTCAGTAGTTTCTACTAAACAAGCTTCTCTGGCCGCCTTGTCAGCTATCTCATTACAGCGTATTCCTGAGTGTGCTTTCGTTTTATGCCTTTCTTTGCCAACTCGCACAGGGTAGCCCTTATTTTCATTGAGATTTCACTATTGAAACGTTTAATAGCTCTTAAGCACCGACTGAGAATCTGAAATTATGGCTACACTTGTAAGCTCTTTTATATTAATCTTCATCCAGTCCAGTGTAGATTTTATAGCTAAAGATTCCGCTGTAAAGATTGGACAGATTTCCGGGATACAAAACCGGCGAATGATACTATGAAATGCACTATAGATAAAGTATGCATAGCCAGTGCCATTTGAACTTTTAGATCCGTCTGTATATATATATATATATATATATATATGAATAGCAGATTCATTGCTTCTTAGTACACTAGATAATATGAAGAGAGGTGTGTTCAGTATAGTTTGGAAAGGTTACTTCGAATTTAGATGTAATGACTTCAAGAGGATGTTTAAAAATTGGAAGCCTTCTTGAATAAACGAAATATTATTGGAATTTGCTGGTATCAGTGAAGGCTGTTACAAATAATGGAGATCTTTTGTGTCGCCAGTATGGATGACAACGGTCATTAACACTGGCCACTGATATTTTTCCGGTAAGGAGTGTATTAGATGATCTGTATTTAATTAATAACTTATGCGCCAAGTATTTACGTCTGACATCCAAAGGAGATTCATTATATTCTGCTAGTATGGCAGGACATGGAGATGACCTCACTGCCCCGACTCTTATTCGCAATGCCTTGAATTGGATCCTATCTAAAATCTTTAAATGTGTATTTGTTGCAGAATCATAGAGTACACATCCATAGTCCAGAATAGACCTAATGTAGGACCTGTAGAACTGAAGAGAAACACAAGGATCCGCTCCCCATTTCGATTTCGTGATGAACCGAAGCATGTTCAGTCCTTTTCACAACGATCCTTTATGTAGTGAATGTATTTATTCCACAATAGCTTAGAATCTAAGACAACTCCCAAGTACTTGATGTGGTCAAGCGCTCGAAAGCTGATGTCTCGGATTTTTAACTCGGTGCCTACGTTATTTAACCTGCGTCGTGCGAAAAACACGATAGCAGATTTTTCCGCAGACATGATGAGTCCCATTTCTCTAAGCCAATTTTCAACACAATACACTACGTACTTCAGTTTTCTGATACATTGCTCTACTGAACTATGGCTTGTGTATATGCAAATGTCATCCGCGTATTGAATAACACTGATGTCATCGTCCATTAAATCGTGCAATCCAGCAGTGTATATATTGAATAATCTAGGTGAAAGAATTGATCCTTGAGGAATACCATTAGTGACAATACGTGGTCCATACAGTTCATTTCTATGATTACGTATAAAAAATTTTCTATTCGCATAGAGAGCTATAATAGATGCAGCAGCTGCCTCACTGATACCTAGAAGTTTAACTTTATCGAAAAGGATATCCAACTTGACGTCATTGTAGGCACCTTTTATATCCAGGAATAGACAGGAGGTGTACTTTCTCTGGGAAAAACTGACATAGATACCAGATGTGAGGTGGACTAAGGCATCCATGGTACCATGGCCTTTTCTGAAGCCATATCGTGTTCTAGGTAGCAATGAATAGTATTCAAGGAACCATTCTAGGCGAGTCTTAGGCCCGTATCGTCAGTCGTCCCTACAATTGTAGGGCGCGTTTATGGCCTCCTTGATTGTCATACTATTTTTTCTCCCTCAAAAATTTCTAGATTACACTCGTCCCGTGTCAGCGTCAGCGCTCTCCTATTGTGAAGATATGTTTTCTTTTTAAATTGTAGGAAATTTCAGGCTGATAAACCATGATATAACTCAAAAGCAAGCACAATTTGATGCAAATAGATGTTTGTGACATAACCTCAAAATAGAGTTCTGACACGGAGAAGTAGAAAACTATGACAATCAAGGAGGCCATAAAGGCGCCCTACAATTGTAGGGACGACTGACGATACGGGCCTTAATCATCCTTTCAAATGTTTTTGTGAGACAAGACATAAGAGAGATCGGCCTATATGAATCAATCATGTCCGGATTTTTATTGGATTTTAGGATGAGACATGACTATCTCTCTCATGTTTTCCACAAAATCCTTCTTTATCCACCAATTGTTATATATTTCTAAAAGAAGAATTTTCGCAGATTGTGGCCAAGCATTAATTATCTTATAAGTAAAACTGTCCAATCCAGGAGCAGAGCGATTTGTATTTTTAAGTGCATTTTCCAACTCTTCCATAGAAAAAGGTTGCTCAAAACTATTATTTTTATTGGTAAATGTGGTTCTATAAAAACACTTGAAGATGCTGATGCCGGAGCAAAGAAATCGAGCAGTTTGTCAACTGTTTCGTTCGTAAGAACTGTTTTTTTGAATTCTATTGAAGAGTTTCTTATTGCTTTTATGTGTTTCCAAATTTCAGACACTGGGGTGCTCTTATTGAGGGTATTAATAAACATTTTCCAACTATTGCGTTTCTTTTTGTTGATTAGTAATTTACATTTTGCTTCTGTGTTCTTGTATTTTAAATAGTTGTCAAAATTTGATATTAATTTATATTCAGTAAGGGCTTCTTTGCGCGAGTCAACGGCTCGAGAGCATTTATCATCCCACCAAATGGGTTTCATAGTTTTTGGTTGGAATGATTTTTTATGGGCATAGCTGCATCTGCTCCCGTATTGACAGCATGAAAAAGTGCCCCGAATTTGACAGTGTTGCGTTTGCATCCCTCTGTTGTTAATTTTTTTTGGGGAATTTCCTGGAAAATCCTCCAGTTTGCCTTCCCATCATTCCATCTAGTAAAGGGTGTCCCAAAATTAACGCAAGATTTGAATTAAATAGAAAATGCCATTTTTAGTCTTTTAATAGTTATATTTTTATTGACTCATAAAGTACATAGGATAGGGTTATGTATGGAATAACACATCGGACAAATGGCCTCCACGGCTTTGCATGCACATGCGCACTCTTTTGTCGAAATTTTCCATGACCCTTCTGCATAAATGTGGCTGAATTTCGTTGATGCAGCGTTGAATCTCCTCCTTTAATGCACGGGTGGTTGTGGGCTTGTTGACATAGACTTGTGATTTCAAATAACCCCATAAAAAGAAGTCTAATGGTGTTAAATCACACGATCTAGGAGGCCAATTTTGATCACCGAAACGAGAGAGTACACGACTGGGAAATGTCTCATGCAGTAATTGAATTGTTTCACGGGCTGTATGACATGTGGCACCGTCTTGTTGAAACCACATATTGGGTACATCAATATCATTCAATTTTGGCAGAAAGAACTGTGTAATCATGTCGCGATATCGAGCACCAGTAACAGTCACTGCTTGACCAGCATCATTTTCAAAAAATATGGCCCAATTATGCCTCCAGCCCAAAATCCACACCAGACAGTCACGCGTTGTGGGTGCATTTCTTTTTCGACAATCACACGTGGGTTCTCCGAACCCCAAATGCGGCAATTTTGGCGATTGACAAAGCCATCAAGATGAAAATGTGCTTCATCGCTTAGGATGATTTTGCTTGAAAAATCAGGGTCCATTTGTTGATGTTCAATAATCCATTCAACAAACTCTCTTCTCTCTGCATGGTCATTAAGCTTCAATTGTTGTGTTAATTGAAGTTTGTAAGCATGAAGACACAGATCTTTGGTGAGTATACGCTGTAGAGAGGTTCTTGACATTTGCAATTCTTGTCCACGACGTCGAATTGAGGTTCCTGGATTGTCCGCAACACTCTCACGCACTGCTTCGATATTCACATTTGAACGGCTTGTTTTTGGACGACCAGTGTGTTTGGCGTCTCCAACGGATCCAGTCTCCATGAATTTTTCAATTAATCTCTTCACAGTTGACGAAGTTAAAACACTATTCCGGCCATATTTTGTATGAAATTTTCGAACTGCAGCCGCCAAGCTTTCACTATTTTTGAAATATTCTTTAATAATGAAGACACGTTGTTCTATCGTGTAACGCTCCATTTTTCATAACCCTATACTGTTAGCTGTCAAATTGCTTTTTTTCAGGGTTGCCAACACTTCACTGCACAAATGGCGGCAAATTCAAATCTTGCGTTAATTTTGGGACACCCTTTAGATGGACTGATTAGAAAGACACCTTTCTTGGTTTGAACATCTATAAGGATCGGAAAGTGATCCGAACCCATCGAGTCACGTTCCACTGTCCAACTGACTTTATGTACAAGATCCATGGAAACTATGGTTAAATCCACGGCTGATGGAGCAAACATTGGAGAACCGACCCTAGTAGCACTTCCGTCGTTTATTACAAATAAATTAGAGTCATCTAGTGCCTTTGTCAGGTTACGACTTTGGGCGTTATCACTTATACAGCCCCATGAAGGGTTTTATTCGAAATTTGGGAAGTTACTGAAAAATGTTTCCCAATCGTTGCTAGATATTTTTTCTCAGGAGGTTTATATACCGAAATGAGATTGAGATCAATTTAGTTGATCATTACGCCGCACATTTGGATGTCTGTGTCGTATTTGTTCGAATCCATTCTCTTCAATATTATATCCTTTAATGCTGAAAATCTGGTTAGGTTTAAGCCATGTTTCTGAAAGTGCTATTACGTATATCAGGATTTTAGTTTTCCAGAAATTGTAAGAGAACCCCTTTCCTGGGTGCGACCGACCTAGCATTCCATTGGAGGATTAAGACCATTACTAGTATGTTGATTCTGCATCATCACTAATATCTATATAATCACTTACTTTTGGTTCTGGAAAAATGCTTTCAATCAAACTGTCAACTTTAATTTCATTGATTAATTGTGGATTCTGTATTATTGAGTTCACAAAACTAGTCAAATGGTGTATTAAGTTCTATTTAAGTTCAAGTATCGCGTTGAGGACTTGGGATAAATGAAGATATAGCTTTCTTCTTTTGGACGTTGCGGAGCGGAGCGGCGTCAGTGGTATTAGAAGAGGTAGGAGGGGTTGTAGGAGGAGACAATGCTTTTAGTTTCCTAGAAGGGTTTGGTTGTGACAAAATTTGTCTCTTGGGTTTTGATACGAAACTAACGTTTGATGCGGTATTTGGAGATAATTCAGGAACATTGTCTAAGTTATCCAAAACAGCAAATCTGTTGTTTGTTATAATGACTCAGCGTCTTTGAAAGAAAGATTATTATTCGTCATCATCTTTTTAATGCTTTGTTGCTTTTTATGTTTCTCGAGATCGTAGCGTGCTCTGTACTATGACAATGGGCGCAAAAGTTCTCAAAAGTGGATTGGTCATCATTGTGATCTCCACTACATTTTTGACAACGACTTTTACCATTACAAATCTTTGCTATATGTCCAAATCTCAAGCAGTTTAGACACTGGACAACGGGGTATATACAGGGTGGCGCATCGAAAACGAAACAGACGCATTTACTGGCAGCTCAGTTTTTTTTTTGGAAAAACGCTGGATTGGTAGAAGAGGTGCCATTGAATGGCCCCCAAGATCGCCAGATTTATCACCTTTGGATTTCTTTATGTGGGGTCATTTAAAAAGAAAAACCTATGCTACTCAGCCAACATCATTAGACGACCTGCGACAAAGTATTGTGAATGAGTGCCTTCAAATTACTACTCAAATATTGCAAACTGTGCGGCAATGTTTTGACCAACATTTACTTGCCTAACGGGTCAGTTCGTCCTTCATTTTTAAATTACTTTGCTGTCAAATGTATTGATCTCCACTAATGATGATGTATTAGTTTTCTTTAAGCTTTAAATCGATAAATCATCAAAACTACTGAACTGAAGTACATTAATGTTGTATCATATTCCATTTAAGATTTTGTGGGTGGTGTCACCCCCGCTTAGGGGGCTGCACGTGCTTACGTGATTTTTTTGCCAAACTTGTGTCCCCCTCGAAAACAAAATCGACGGGTCTGAGCGTTTTTCAAGAAAAACTGAGCTGCCAGTAAATGCGTCTGTTTCGTTTTCGATGCGCCACCCTGTATATGGTTCCACTTCAAAAA